TTGGATAGGGTTTCAGTGGAGAAAATTAGAGAAGAAGAGTTATAAAACTAAGGAAGAAAATGGGCTATATATATGGCACCTCATTAACCTAAAACTAGGTCAAATCAGCGTTCTCATGAAATTCCAAATTTTATTGGGTAATTTTCTTAATTTTATCCAATCAATCCAATTGATTGGTTTTTCCAATTTCAGCCAATTAATTTAATTAATTAGTTTCCTTAATTTTGGTCCATCAATCTAATTGATTGGTTTCTAATCAATCTAATTGATTGGTTTCCTTTATTTTCTCCATCTTCATTAACTCTAATTTAATGACTATATTTAAATTCAAATTTCAAATTCAAAATTCAAAATTAGAATTTAAATTAATTTTATTTAAATTCAAATTTCCAATTCAAAATTCAAAATTAGAATTCAAATTAATTTTACTAATTAAATATTTAAATTAATTAGGTTACATCATAGATCAAGTCTAACTTGGCTCATGATGCCACCTACCCTCTTTTGGCTCAATATGTGGGCTTTACCAACTTAAGCCCATCATCCTTTATTGGGCCTAAATCACATATGCTAGAATTCAAGACAACTTAAGGTTTTTGTGTGCAATCCATCAGGCCCAACATAGCCACTGAGATTAAATGGACTTGGGCCCATTAGGCCTAATCCATCTAATGACAACATAGAGCACTAACAATGCTTTGTTGTCTCACAGCTAGTTGAGTTCATCAAATAATCAACCTGTTATACCTATTTGGTTACCGTGTGAATTATGCTTTGTTGTCTCGGTTATCCGTCCCATTGACCTAAGTTATGGAAAACGTATCAACCCCTACGGTCTAGGGTTAGCTTTTTCCGAAATAGGAAATCTTCATTTGCGGACTCTAAAAAGCAGGCCATCTCATGACTCCTTTACTATGCATAGATTTCCAAGTTCCGTAAATGTCACTCTGATTTTACCGGTCTATAGATAACCTAATCTCTTATAGAGATTGATGAATTCATTCAGCTTGTCACACTAGCCCTGAGTCCTTAGGGCATGCCCAAGAGTATACCTACGAGTCTTCATGTTCCAGGCAGACAAGGTATACAATGAAAGCAAGCCTTCTAGAGTATAGGTCTATATGACAATGTCAGATCTAAGAAAAGACACACCCAAATAATAAGAGATATTACCTATTGATACTATCTATGAGATTTCCTTGTTGTGTCTCTTTGTGGGTCAATTCAGTGCGAGCTTTTCTCTAATAACCCACGAGTCAGCTAAGACATCTCCATGTCTATAGCTCACGAGGACTCTACCTTGCATCTTCATGCAAGTAGCCGAGTCTTGCTAGTCTTACCTGAGATCACCAATTCTCATTTTCGGAATCTCTAAATTAGGAGCATATTTCTGGCAATGGATGTATGGTGTCATTGAGCCCTCATGATCGTGATCCCTATCACAGATCCTCAATGTGACACTCGTTCTATTCCAATGGCTTTATCCAGTTACTCATATTCAATATTTGAGACATGCAATATGAAACAAGATAAAAAAGCTTTTATTCATAAAATTTATTCATAACAATAAAGAAGTACATGGGTCCATCTGACTCTCAGATTGTCTCCAGGACACCTATGTACTAACATGAGTTGTATCCCGCAAAGAGATCCTAATATATACATCTAGGGGTTGTATCCCGCAAAGAGGCCATACATGATAATCCATGGGCTGTATCCTTATGTACCCGCTTCCAAGAGCTGTATTTCGTTAGAATATCACACATGTATGAGTTCACTAATCAGAAACCACTATCCATATACCTCTTCTTATCATACCACTACATATCATACCATGTCAGATATCATATCATACCACTTCATACCATATCATATCACATATCATATCATATCATATATAATATCATATCATACCATATCATATCATACCATATCATATCATATACATAACCTACATGAATGCAACTATACTATATATCTACATTCATTACAACATATGCCATATGAACCAGAATCTTATTGGACCATGGTGGAACAACATACAAGAGAAAACTCTTAAACCAAGAGCTTACCTTGAACTAGCTTTCATGTAAAGCCTACTTGTAACACCATGTGTGCATCCGATGTATTAAACATGCAATGGTAATAAGCACAACTTAATTAAATTGCGGAAGCTACTTATCCAATTATGAAGACTCATTAAATTAACCATGTGAATTAAGTTTTTCTTTTTAACAATCCTTATGTAATTGCAATACAAACAATAATCTGAAATGCCTCATAGTTAGGGGTGTAAATAGGCTAGGCTAGGCTAGACTTTGACTTAAATAGACCAAGCCTGTGTAAAAACATTGATCTGGCCTAGCTTGTTAACCTGTGTAGGCCCCAAATCACAAGTCTGACCTGACCTATATTTAAAAAGTAAAAGTCTTGGCCTAGGCCTGTTATCCTGTTTACGCCTATTAAACATTCAACAATTAAAAGAATAACTAAAATAATATTACTTTATTATTCAAATTAATTAAAATAATTATTTTATTTATTTTATTTAAAGTAAATAATATGATATAGGCCGACCTGTAGGCTTATAGGCCTGATATGTACAAAAAAGCCTATGGCCTATTTTCTAAATAGATTTTTTTAAAAGCCTACATCTATTTTATTTTACTATTTGTAACAGGATAAGCCTGACCTAATATAGGCTAGGCCGTAGGCCCCTGTAGGCCGGGCTAGCTCATTTACACCCCTACTCATAGTCATAAATAATACTTAGTCATGAGCCTACATCGTGTAGGCATGACAACATCCATACTCAATGGTATAAACCAATACATGTCCTCAACAAAAATAAACATCAGAACAAGATTATTAAATAGTGGCATAAAAAACCCTTATGCTCATATCAAATAAACATAGTCAATACTATCAATATAAACATGTCTCAGCAATAATATGTCTCATAATCGTAATGCATGCATATCATGCTATCAACTCTACTATGGCCTCTTACCTTGAGATGCACCAATATCATGAATATCTGTACTTGAAAAATGTTTCCCACACGGGGTGAGATTTTGACAAATCTCAGTAAGGCAAGGGGTCCTCAAGGATTCGTCCACCCCAAGCTCACTTATAGGTATAATAAGTTCAACAGAATACTAGAATGCATAATGCTGGATATATATAGCATGGCGTATGAGCAATAACAATCTACTGGCCAGAGACAAGTATGCATTATACACGTCTGCAACATACTAAAAATATAAGGGATGCCTCCTTATGCCCCACACCCAGGGATGTAGCCTGCATACGTAGGTAACTAACACATCCACATATATATCAACAATACCTCAAATCATTTCCAAATGTCTCAAATATACAACAGTGCATAAAATCATTTATAAAGACATACCATGCACATAAACCAACCTCCCATGGAGTTTGGTGGAATAAACAACAGATCAATCTGAGGACCAGAAGCTTACCTGTAGCGATATAGTCCTCCAACACAAACTCAGTATCAATAGGGTCACCTACAGTCACACAATCTGGCAAGTACAATAGGTTTTATGTCAAACATAGCATTAATAATCAGATTGTACAATTTCATGACATTTGGACTACGTTTTATTTTTCATTTTGTGACTGCAGGCTTATTCCAAAGCCCCAAGCACAAAACAATATTTATCATTTTTAAAACTGTAGTTGCATCTCTTTACCAAAAATTCTAGTATTTTACTATGTTAATTTAGACATCCTAAGCTTTCCAACGACATATTATATGTCTCATTTGGAGTTGTATAGCTCCGGCTATGTTTTTCGCAAAGTAACTGCTGCAACCTGAATTTTCAGTAACCAAGTTGCAACTTCAAACTTACACTATGATCAAACCACTTATCCGATTGCTACGAAATTTTACCTAACCGGAACTGTTCCGGATGGCCCAAACACTGGAGCGACCCAGTTACTCAGGCCCAATCCTCAGCTTTCTTCTGAGTCAGCCCTTAGGGCTGACGTGGACCCTCACACTCTCCAAGACTGCAGCACGTCCAAAATATACACCAAAACGTCCCACTTTGGGACATTAACCGCTAAACCCAGTCGCCATAAGCACTGCAAAGGAATCTGCCCCTTTGCTCAGTGTTGACATCGCCTGATGCAGTAGGTTCAGCGCTGCCATCGTGGCAGCGCCAACCGCGCCTAACACTGCCATCAGGGGGACACATCCCAAGAAGGGCTGACCCCCTCCTCACCAACCCACACCATTTTCCTTATAAATAGCCCTCATGGGCACAACAGGAAGGGGATCTTTATGTACTGTATTTACGCCCATTTATTCTTAAGTCATACCCATACTATTTGTCTACCATTGATATCTGCTTGCTTCATCTTGGAATAATACCTTCTAGCCTGGTCATTACCTTAGCTAGAGGTACCATCCATATAACAATATTACCCTCAAATGGTACATAGTGGACTCACAGAACCAAACGGTACAGGAACGCTACGCAAACATTGATATTCGAAATGAGAAAACAAACATTGATATTGTGGGAAGTATTAAGGTTTTTATTATCTATAGGTTTCTGTCCTGCAGGTTAAACGAGACTGGAAGCTTGTTTCCTTTGGTTAATGTTGACTATAGAAGCATATTGTCACACAACATTAAAATTTATTCGAGAATATGATAAAAGAAAAAAAAAAAGAAAAAGGAACAGCAATCTGATTGTGATTTGCATAGTTACATGCTTTGTGCTGCACGGAATTTCTCATTAGCTAAAAGCACAGGTACATGTAAACTCTTTTATTAATGCTTGAAATAAAACCTAGTAAAAACTGAATGTTCCAAGTAAAACTGACTCCTCTTTTTATTAATGCTTCAAATAAAACACAGAAAAAACTGAATGACGTACACTCTAAAAAGCTAGCCTTTCAGGTGCACTTAGGGAATGAAGATTACATTAAAGTAAATATTAGGAGCCAGGAGATTTATATAATTATCATTTTGACATCCTTGCAGCCAGTTCTTTCACCACCTTAGCAGTTACCATGGCATTTCCTGAAGCAGTATCATGTTGTGGGTTGTATTCAACCACATCTCCACCAACAATATCACCTTGAAGATTTTGCAGGATGTTGAGAACATCTTGGAAAGAAAGACCTCCTGATTCGTCGCGACACACTCCAGGAGCAAAAGCAGGATGAAGACAATCCACATCTATTGCTACATATAAGCCTTTAACACCTATCCCCATTCCCAGTTTCTGCAAAAGGAAAATCCCCAAGGTCTATTAACCAAAGAAGCACCAAATTTCAAAACAAAAGAATAATGTTAAATTCAATCTGCAGGTATTATCGTTAATAAATGTTTGAATCTTATTCATGTTATGACCTATTTTAGAGACAATGCCAAGACCTACCTGAAGGGTACTTCTGAAATATGGAATTAAACCCCCTTTTTTTTTTAATTCATAAAAATTAGAGAGAGAGAGAGAGAGAGAGAGAGAGAGACCAGGAGCTCTAAAACAAGGCAATCTCTTGAAATTGTTCGCATATCACATTGGTCTACAACAAAAACATGGCCTTGTTCACGCCCTTCAGATGGTTTTGATCTTACACCAACCTGAAATAAATTGATGAATTAAAAGCATGAAGTACTTACTACCATCACTGAGGAAGAGAAATCGATACTACACCGTAATGAAAGAACTTGCAGCAATTTAGCTCCCAAAACAATTAACAATAAAATTCGTCTGATGAAGACAAAAGTCAAAGAAATAAACGTAACTAAATTTCAGCAAAACACACTTGCTTTTCAATTAAGACCGTTAATGGTTTTATGAGGAATCTACCTTCTTGCTGTTCAAATTAAACATTATTTCTGATAATCTATAATAGATCATAGTCATATATACCATTATGCAAGAAGAAATCATAACAGTATGAACAGAGCTAGTTACATACATATTAATAGCAGAATATAAATGCTGAATGAAATCAAAGCAAAAGGATATTATATTATGACAGAGAATCACATGGTTTATGATTCAGATATGCCTTATCAAATTAAATTGTTTAGGATATAAAAATGCTACAAACATATATCAAGAATAGAAAAATGCCTGCACGATTCGCCCAGCATAGCCTTCCTTCTTGATTCTAGCAAAAGAAGGAAAACGCGAATAATGATCCGGATGTGCATCAAGATGAAGAATATCAACTGGTCCTCCAAGCTTCTCAGAGACAGCTCTAACAACTGGATATGATACTGAGTGATCACCCCCTAAAACTAAGGGACGTAATGGACGCTGGAAAAATATAGACACCATGAGAATCAAGCTACATATATATAGTTCAAACAGAAAGTTATCAGAAAAATATGATATAGTTCACGTGATAGTAGATTTGATGCTAAAAAATCTTGTTATTTTCACAAAAAAAGCATTCCCATTATTCCAATCTAAGTGAAATTTTAGGAAAAAATAAATCCTATTATAATGAAATTATAGGGACGATCAAACATGGATGCTTCCGAACTCATGTTCAAATTATTACCGAGAAGCTATAATTCTTGGTAATAGCTAAAGCTTATAGACAATTATCAGACATAGACAACTGATAACAAGGAAGAAAAAAAAAAAAAAGCTGAATATGAAGCTTCAGATAGAAAAGCATTTATCAAGCTGCCTTGGCAGGAAATAATGATGATACTAGAAAAGTATATAAAACACTACATATAGTTTTTTTTTTTTCCTAAAAACTATAACATAAATCATAATGAGAGGGAAATAATGGGGTATATATAACGAGATATATACCGCATGTTATAAAGTGTAATTTTTTAATTCCAAAAAATGTGAATGTGTTCAAAGCAAAACAAATTGATATTTACCTGCTCCATGACTATCTTGACAGATTCAGTGACGACATTCATCATTCTGTCATCATCTACTCCACATTCTCGAATTGCTTGGATAAGAACATCACCAACATCAGTTAGCACTCGTACGTCATGTAAATCCTTTCCTGCAAAATCAGAATCATAAGCTCATGATTATCAAACATAAAAAATTCAATATTTTAAAGTACCTGAAAAGTTTATGTCCACAATTTCAAAAATTCAAATTAGATAACAGATTTGCGTTCTTGAATATTTTTAATGCTAAAGAATAATATAATATAACATAAGATAACATATAATAAAATGTGTCTTCACCTAAATTTTGGGTTTGAATTGGTTCATGTATCAAACCTTTACAATCTAAGGATGCTTTTGGTGTGGTAGGTCTATAAAATTATCCATTTTCAAACCCTACAAAAATATTCTTGATGTGGTGGGTTCATGAATTGTCAAGGGGGTGTGCTAAGGAATAGGCCCCTAAATTTTCCATGCTATAATCTTATAAAGCTGTTGGCGGGTGGGGATGTATTAAGAAATAACACACAATAAAATAATAAGATATATCTTAACGGCTTAAATTTTTGGGTTGAATTAATCTTTTACAATTTCAATATTTGATGCAAAGAATAAATTAACATTTGCAGATGAGTTTACAAAGAAAAATTAGGACTAGACTAAACAAAGAAGACTTCAACTGTCCTAAAGAAAACCACATGAATACCTTCTTCAGTTAAGTTTGAGCAACCACAGCAAATGGCTTCCTTACTGAAGGGAGATGCAAATGGACGTCCTTGAAGGAATGATGAATTATGTCCCAAAGGAACTCCAAGAAGAGTTGAAGTTGCTGTAGCACCTCCCAAAGCACGCACAAGTTCTCCCTGGAGAAAAGCAAATTCTGCATTTATATATATATATATATTGCTTTTTGTTGCAAAACTTATAACCAAAATCACCCAAATAAAATATAAAATCATGGGGCAAAGGAAGACAACATGTAATAAACACAAATTCAGTGAAGCAGGATAAAAGCAAAGAATGACATGCCTTAAGCTTTGCTCTTTCTCGAATAAGTGTAAGTGAAGCATCTATCACACGATGTTGGGCTGTATCTAGCGAATCACGAGATATTTTTTCTGTATACAGTTTCTGCATGCAATGGTAGCCTCTGCGTCCTATCCTTGACATTTCTGTGTCAAAAAAAGAAAAAGAAAAAAATAAATCAATATTCTGTTAATTTTACTGATATTATAGACCAATAATTTTATTTTCCATACTGATATTATCAGTGTCAATCATACTGTACACGCAAACACATCTCTACTGCTAAATGCGACCAACCTACTTTAACACTTTATGTAGGCACAGGCTACTACAATGGCACGAAATACAACACCATCAAATGGTGATCCACCACCTTAATGCCCCCAACTTGGGTTACAAGCTTGCGTTGCCAAGGTCGAATACGACAACTATTTTAAAGGGTACTTAATTGTTCCTAGAAATGCAGTACAACAAGTGATACAGGTACAACATCTTATATTCTTTCACTTTCACAAAGAGGTAGGATCCACATTTTTATTTTTTTGTCAACTCTCTCCTCTTTTATTTATCTCTTTCTTTTTTTAAAATGACTCAACTTTATATCATTTAAAATGACACACAATTTACCATAGAATAATATCTAGAAACAGAGAGAACTTTAATTTTTTTTTTCATTTAAAAAAAAAAAAGAAATAAAAAAATTGTAAACACCCAGAATGGAGGATTGTTCAAAGTTTCAAACTTTACAACTCCAGACGACAGATTCCTATTTAATTTTCTCTGCATACAAACAAGAACAACCAATTCAGGTTTTAAAATTTAAATGCATACCCTGGGTTCTTGCAAGAGAATAGAGGATACTCATCATATATAGAGAGAGAGAGAGAGTTGGGGTGGAGAAAATGGTGCCAAGTAATGAGTATAATTGGGGTCACTTGGGAGTTGCGACTGCCTCATTTCCAAGTATGGCTATATATACACATTTTCATTGGAATCGTACAGTTTTTTTCTAATGAATGAACAAGGCTCAACATGAATTTATTTATAAAGAAAAGAGAACTTTGGAGGATTCTTAAAATGAAGTTATTATTAAACATTTGTTAGGTAAGGGTGTATCTACTTTTAATTTAATTCAAAGTGTAATGAAATTTTAACCCGTCTATTGTAATTTTGATCCATTAAAATGTAAGGGTAGATATATTTTTATTTGTTTTTGTTTTTTTAGGTATCCATTAGTTCTTTTAAAAAATATTCTGTCTTGGAGACAGAGATGTCTAGCCCAATGAACTAGTATGTTGATTTTGGATCTAGTGTTCTCTTTAAGGTATCTATGAAGGAGATACCCTTGAGTCAAGCAGATCACTGTGCACAATAAATGAATAACGGCTTTGCCAATGGAGATATGTGTACGCCCAGTGACAACATAACAGTAAGAGAGAGCGTAACGTACCTTTAGATTTTACCTCTTATTTATAAGATTTACCTGCGGTAGTAGAATATGGACCTTTAGTGTCTCTGATGAAGGCTCAAACCCATCTGTCATGTCATCGTATTAGGATTAGTATCCCTGATGGATTCCTTTCCATAGTTATGCTTGATTTAAATCTTATATTGTCATTTGCTAGGCCTATCAATCAATGGGCACCTTATATGGGTCCATAACAAAAAATAAGAGTAAATACCCTTTTTGATCCTCAGCAAATTTCACGATGCCCATTTTAGTCCTTAGCAAATAAAAAGGCCCATTGTGGTTCCTAAGAAATTCAAAATGGACCCATTTAGTTGAAATCGTGGTCCCTCACAAATTCAAAAAAGACCCATATTAGTCCCTAAAAGGACTAAAATGGGTCCATTTTGAATTTCTTAGGTATCGCGATGTGCCTTTTTATTTGCTAGGGACTAAAGCGGTTATCGTGAAATTTGCTGAGGACCAAAAATGGTATTTACTCAAAAAAAATAAACTCATTTCAGATGACACTTTCCTAATTTTATGATACACAAAAATTTCTCTTCAAAGTTAAGGAAAATATCATCTAAAGAGAGTTTATTTTTTTGGTGAATAAGAGAGCTTGTCTTCAAAGAAAATAAACAATGGTAAATCCATCCTTAAATTTTAGTGAAGTAATAATAGATTACACTTTGAAATAAATTGATAGTGTTAGAAAATAGAATCAGGTAAATAATAACTTGCTTTCATTCCTTCTCAATTAATCTATCCCTCAATCAGGTTTCTATATATACAAGAGTAATTCCAACAACCTGCTATTGTTCAGGAAAAATAAAAACAATCTGATCTCAACTACCTATACATTGTAACAGCCTAACAAGGCTAACAAACAATTAACAATAATTTAAATTTGAATTACATAAACTAACACTCCCCCTCAAGTTGGTGCAAAGATGTCAATCATGCCCAACTTGTCTATTGCTTCTTGGAATACTCGTACAGATCCAGCCTTTGTCAATACATCAGCAAGTTGATTCTGAGAATTAATGAATGGAAAATGAATTGTTCCTTCATCTAGCTTTTCTTTTATAAAATGTCTATCAACCTCAACATGTTTGGTTCTGTTATGTTGAATGGGATTATGTGCAATTTCTATGGCAGCTTTGTTGTCACAATGAAGATTCATAACTTGATTTTTGAACAATCTGAGATCTTGTAGGACCCTTTTAATCCAAAGTAGCTCACATACTCCTTGAGCCATTCCTCTATACTCCGCTTCTGCACTAGATCTAGCAAAACCACCTTTTGTTTTTTACTTTTCCAAGTGACTAAGTTTCCTTCCACAAAAGTAAAATATCCAGATGTTGACTGCCTGGATGTTTTATCTCCTGCCCAGTCAGAATCACTATAGCCTTCAATAGAACAGATGTCAGTCTTTGTAAACAACAAACCTCTGCCAACTGTCCCCTTCAAATACTTCAAAATTCTGAATACAGCATCCATGTGCTCAACACTAGGTGAATGCATAAATCTACTTACCACACTTACTGCGTAGGCAATATCTGGACGGGTATGAGACAAGTAGATTAGTCTTCCCACTAATCTTTGATACCTTACAATGTCACTAGCAACTTGGTCAGGATATATGCCTAGCATGTGATTCATCTCCATAGGAGTTCCTGCCGGTTTGCAATCCAACATTCCTGTTTCTGTTAGGAGATCCAGAATATATTTTCTTTGAGAAAGAGATATGCCTTTCTTTGACCTTAAGATTTCAATTCCTAGAAAATATTTTAGTTCCCCCAAGCTTTTCATTTCAAACTCAGTGTTCAAGTATTTTTCTAGACTCTCCATTTCTTCCAAGTCATCTCCAGTGAGTACCATGTCATCCACATATACTATAAGAGCCGAAATCTTCTCCTCCTTCCTCTTGATAAATAGAGTGTGGTCAGCATTGCTTTGGCTATATCCGAATCTTTTCATAGCCGTTGAAAATCTCCCAAACCATGCTCTAGGAGATTGTTTAAGGCCATATAGGGTCTTCTTTAATTCGCATACCTTTGATTCAGATCTGGACTCTATGCTAATTCCGGGTGGTATATCCATATAAACTTCTTCTTGGAGATCTTCATTCAGGAACACATTTTTTACATCAAATTGCTTGAGTGGCCAATCTCTGTTTGCTACTAGAGAAATGAGGATGGGAATAGTATTCAGCTTGGCTCCTGGTGCGAAGGTGTCTTGGTAGTCAATGCCAAATTTTTGAGTGAACCCTTTCGCTACTAGCCTTTCCTTATATTTGTCAATACTTCCATCAATTTTTACTTTTACTGTATAAACCCACTTGCATCCGATAGCTCTTTTCCCTTTAGGTAGAGGTACTAGCTCCCAAGTTGCATTTTTTTGTAATGCTTCCATTTCAAGGTTCATTGCTTCTTTCCATTTTTGATCTCCAAGTGCTTCCTGTACATTGTTAGGAATGCATACAGTAGATAATTGACTAACAGATAGCGCACATGAGTGAGATAATCTGTGAGTTGATACATAATTATTTATGGGGTACTTAGCCTTAGCTTGCAAATCTGGTTCGTATACTTTTCTAGGTATCCTTTTGGTTTGTCTTAGAGACTGTCTAATTTGGGGTTCGGTTGAGTTGTTTAAAGGAGAAAGAGGAGTGTTGGGTTCTGAAATTACCTCTGCATGTTGTTCAGGAGCATCTCTGGATGAAAAATCAGTTATTGGGTTTAGAGGTGGATCTTCAGCAGCATTCAAATCCAGAATTCTTCCTTGAGGTGCTGTATCTGAAACCGTGGCATCTATAGATGGATCCGAGAGGGTTTGAGGGATAATCTCAAGGAGGACTTCTCCTCCAATTGGATCTAAATATTGCTCCCCCTGAGGAGAAGGACCAAGGACTCCCCCTGAAAAAAAAAGGTTCCTGTTCATGAAATGAAACATCTAAGGTTACATGAAGTTTGTGAGAAACAGGATCAAAACACCTATATCCCTTTTGGGATTCAGAGTACCCAACAAATATGAATTTAGTAGCACAAGGTTCAAGTTTATGATGGAGGATTTTAGGAGTATGAACATATGCACTACAGCCAAAGATACGAGGTTCGAGATTGGGAACATGAAGAATGGAGAAGTGGGTTTCAAGTTTTTGTTGAGGGGTAAGGAAATATAGGACACTGGAGGGGGTTCTATTGATGAGATAGGCAGCGGAAAGAACTACTTCCCCCCAAAAATGGTTTGGGACATTCATGCCAAGGAGGGAGGCGCGAACAACTTCTAATAGGTGTCTATTTTTCCATTCAGCAAGGCCATTCTGTTGCAGTGTATAGGTGCAGGAGGTTTGGTGTTTGATCCCATGGTCGATGAGGAAAGATGCAAAGGTCTGATTTGAGTATTCGGTTCCATTGTCCGATTGTAAAATCTGAATGTGAGTTTGGTATTGTGTGAGAATTAGAGAATGGAAACGTTTAAATGCAGTGAATACTTCGCTTTTGTGTTTTAAAATGGTAACCCAAGTCATCCTAGAACATTCATCAATAAAAGTGACAAAATAATGAGCATTAGATTTGGAGGGATCCCGAGAGGGACCCCAAACATCGGAGTGAATAACTTGAAACGAAATATGACTTTTATTTTGACTAGGAGAATAGGGAACATGATGGCTCTTGACCAATTCACAAGTTTTACATTTGAAATCAGCCTTATTCAAGGAGGAAAATAACTTTGGGAATATTTTTTCTAGATACGTAAAGGAAGGGTGTCCTAATCTATGATGCCACAACCAGACAGAGGCAGATGCTTTATTGACCGCAGCAGTATGAAGTGACTGAGCAGAAGAAAAATCCGAAGTTAGGTCCAAGAAGTACAATTTTCCACGTCTAACACCATAACCAATTTTCCTTCGTGTTGAGATGTCCTGAAAAAGGCAGAAATCAGGTCAAAATGAGACAGTGCAATGTAATGAGGCAGTAATCTGGGAAACATAAAGGAGATTAAATTCCAAAGAGGGTACCACTAGGACCGAATCCAGAAAAATAGTGGGAGATAAATTTAGGGATCCTTTTCCTAGAATATGAGAGGTATTACCATTTGCCGTGGAGATGAAGGACTGAGAACATGGTCCATAATCATGTAATGCAGAATAATCTCTAATCATGTGGTCTGAAGCCCCTGTGTAAATTATCCACATATGTTTGCTAGACAATGTAGAGAGAGCAGAGGGGTTACAAAGAATACCTTGGTGAGCCACCAACGCAGTAGATGGGGAATGAGTCTCACTAGTGGCCGCAGCAATAGGAGCAGCAAGGGGCTTGCGACGAGGCTGTTTGTTGAAATCCCACCACTCCGGGTACCCAATGATCTCGAAGCACCTCTGTTTGGAGTGTCCGGTAGCACCACAATGT